ATATTAAGTGAAACAAGTCAGGCACAGAAAGAGAAATATCACATGTTCTCACTTACTGGTGGGAGCTAAAAATAAATAAATAAATTCACACACACACACACACAAACTGGGGGGGGGAAGAAGACATAACAATTACAATTCCTTGAAGTTGACACAACAAGCAAACAGAAAGGACATTGTTGGGAGGGAGGGGGGAGAGGGAGGAGGGAAGGAGGTTTCGGTGATGCGCCACTATAATTAACCACATTGTATATTGACAAAATAAAATTTTTTTAAAAAATGTACAATTCATTTAGTGCATTCACAATGATGGGCAACCATCACCACTCTCTAATTCTGAAACATTATCATCCCCCCAAAAGGAAACCCCATACCCATTAAGAAGTCACTCTCCATTCTTCCTGTCCCCTAGCCCCTGGCAACCACCAATCTACTGTCTGTGTCTACAGATTTGCCTATTCTGAATATTTCCTATAAATGTGTAATACAACATAAGGCCTTTTGTGTCTGGCTTCTTTCACTTATCATAATGTGTTCAAGGCTCATTCATGTTGTAGCGTGTATCAGAACTTCATTTCTTTAGTGAATGAATAATATTCCATTGCATGGATACAGCACATTTTGTTTACCCTTTCACCCACTGATGGACATTTGGCTTGTTTCCACTTTTGCTGTTGTGACTAGTGCTGCTATGAACATTACCGTACAAGTTTTTGTGTGTATACTTGTTTTCAACTCTTTTGACAAAATATGTAGGAGTGGAATTGCTGGATCATATGGTAATCCTATGTTTAACTGTTTGAGGAACTGCCAGACTGTTTTCCCGTATGTATATTTTTACTTGTTTGGTTCTCACTGCTTAATAAATGAAACCATTGGGCATTTCTTTTGGCCTTGAAATGTCATGAAAAGATTACTGAAATACTAAGTGTCTCACAGAGTAAGTTAGGGAGCCTCTGATTTTTGGAGTATTTGTTGTATCTCCCGGGCATCACGGAGGGTGCTCAGGAGACAATTTAAGCAGGACTGACCCTCAAGAGTTTTAGAGTGTGTCAGCAGAGAGGTAACAAACCCCCTACCCTCCTGTGTGGCTCCCAGGAGGGATGGCATCAAGTTGGAGGGGATCAGTACTGTTTTAGATGAGAATGTGTCTGTGAGGAGGTGGCCTGGAACAGCAGGAGGTGAAGACAGAAGGGGAGGCCCATCAAAGATTAGGGACAAACATCCCAGGAAGAGGATCCTGCAAGTGCAGAGAGTCTGAGGAAGGAAGGCACTTGGGTTGTCTAAGAACATAAAGAGGGCCAGTGTGACTGGAACTGAGAGAGACGGGGGGTTAGCAGAGGATGGCCTGGAGAGGTGGGCAAGGTAGTATGAGTGGCTCTGCTAGGGGAGGGGAAGAGACTGCCCCTGCCCTCATCCCTGCTTCACACAGCTGGGTATTAATCAGACAATCTCCCAATAAACTCAGTGACACATCAAGCCATGTGCTCATGAGCTTATAGTACAAGAATCTGACTGCATCTGGGGCTCAGGGAAGACATCTGAGATGGGTTGAATGTAATCAGACAATCTCCCAATAAACTCAGTGACACATCAAGCCATGTGCTCATGAGCTTATAGCACAAGAATCTGACTGCATCTGGGGCTCAGGGAAGACATCTGAGATGTGTTGAATTGGAGTAGACCAGGCTGATGGTGCGCAGGGAGGAGAGAACTTTTTGGAAAGACTGGACAGCATGTGCAAAGGTCCTGTGGAGCACTGAGTTGCAAGAACTGGAAGGAGCTGGGTCGGGGAGGGGCAGCTGTTGGACCTAAATCAGTGGACACTGAAGCTAGAGAGGCCAGGCCCCTTTCCATCCTAAAAGCAGTGAGACCAGATTTGTGCAGAACATCTCTCTGCCAGTGAAGAATGGACTGGAGAGGGGCCAGCGTGGCTGCTGCCATGACCATGGTGTGAGGTGGGAGGTGACCATGACTGAGGCCCAGGAACGACAGTCTTTGTGAACTGACCTTGTGCTGACACTTCAGGGGCAGGGAAAAGTACAGACAGGCCTACATGCCTTGTGTGGAAATTGTTGAAAGTTATCAGTCAAGCTGACAAAGTGTTAAATAAAGCACATCTGTCCTCCTACTTTGACAAATATACACTCCAACAACTTGGCAGGCCAGATTCCAACTGAGGGTTCTCAAACTCCTGGCAATTTGGCCTGCTGCTCTTTCTTTCCGCCCCCAGCTGTCTGATCCAGTGAGAGCTTCACAGCGCATGTGTGGATGTCCCAGGCTTTGGGCAGAGCTTCCTGCTGGCCACATGGGGGTGATGGGGTGCTCACACCAGCAGTGAGTTCACCCTCAGGAAGATGGACCCGTGTGGGGCTGGAGGAGGGCTTGGGGATGTTGAGGCTGGGAATTCTGGGGTCACAGGTATCCAGAGCTTGGTCTAGGAGGGCAGGTGTCTCCTGGCCCTGTATAAATGGGCAGGCCCAAGGAGGGCCAGACTGGAGCTCATTAGAGTGTGGGCCAGGGCAGTCTTGCCCCGTCTGGCCTAGGGTGGTCCTATCATGCTGGCCTGGATCCCGTGGGTCCTTGATGGGCCGGGTGGAGCGTGCTGGGTGGGGGAGGGTGAGCTGCTAGGCTGCTGGCCCTCAGACAGAAGCTGGCTCATTCACAGAGATGGGGACTCTGGAAAGGACCAGTTTGGGGAGTGAAATCATTGACTCATCTCAAATGTGTGGAGGTGCCTTAGAGACATGCTGGTGCAGACTCCATGTTAAATTTGGGGGTTTGACGCTCTGAGGAGAGGTCTGGCCTGGAGATAGAAGTGTAGGTGTCTTTGTTGACAGATGGAAGCTGAGGCTGTGGGCCTGGATGAAGCACCTAGGGAACTTGGGGAGGGTCCAGAGCCCCACGTTTAGACTACAGGGTGGAGGAGGAGGGTGCACAGGAGATGTGGAGTGTAGCAGTGGAATAACAAACCTGCATCTGCTTGATGCTTTGTGCACCAGACCTCAGGGCAGGAGCCGGCCCTCTGCATGCAGTAACCCCAGGGCACGGAAGGAGTGAAAGGTCCTCCCAGAGACGTTGAACCACTGGATCAAAGGAGGAGTGTCTCTGAAAAGGGAGTGTTTGTGTAAGTAGACAATATTTGCTTGAGAAAGAGCTCAAAGTTGGGAGTCAGTGGGGGAGAGGGCTTCCCTTTTCTCCCCACCCCCCTGAGGTGACTCTGGAAATCCTTGCCATGAAATCATGCTCTCAATGCCTCTCCCAGATCACCTTTCCAGAATTAACGATTCTTCCCTGCAGTGAACAAGTTCTGTTCTTTTATAAAATAACACTCACAACATGCAGGGAATTCTCAAAAACAGCCCTGCAAGTTGTGGCAAGAGTCGCCGTTCTGGGGGAGGAGGCTGCCGGGCAGGATGGAGGCTGCACGCCGAGGAGCCGACGCCATCCTGTGGCTGCCACTGCCGGGCTCCACATCGCCTCCCTGTGGGCGTCCCAAGCCAACAACCTAGAGGCACCATCTTCTTTCTGGAGCCCCTGGAGTACGAGGTCAGCCACCAGGGCCAAGAGTTGCTTCGGGGGACCCTGAAGAGGACAAAGATGGAAATGACTGAGAGTTTAAAACCTCACAGAGCGACATGCACATCAGGAGAGATAAACAATCGTCACAATTAATCCATCACCTGGTGTGCGCCATATACACATTACCATCTCCTTGGATCCCCATGGCCATCCTGAAGCAGATACCACTATCCCCCCATTTCAGGGATGGGCAAACTCACCCACGGTCATGGTCTGGGACCCCATCCCAGGCAGGATGGCTGCACGCCCGGGATCCTCCACTCCTGTCTTCTCATTGATCTGCAGATTTGCTGCTCCCTACAGTAGGATGCCAAAGGCAGCTGCCAGCCCTTCCCAGGCCATAGGGCCCTTTGGCTGCCTTGCTGAGCCAAGCATGGAGTTACATGGCGCCCCCTGGAGAAGGGTACATTCTGAGGACCTGGAACTGGAGGGGTCACCTATTTAGATGTGCTGTCAAGGGGTCAGGTGTAAGAGGAAACTGGACTTTGGAATTCTTACAGAAAAGTTCCAGGAGAAGCCTGGGGTGAGGTGGGGTGAGGGGAGAGTAAGGAACAGGGAGGGGGAGGGGCAGGGGCTTGCAAATGGGGTTGACAGCCCCAGTTCCTCCACCCCACTGTCCCTCCCCTCCTCACCTGCCCTCCCCTCCTCTGACCTTCATGCCTTTGGGGCTCACTCCTGAAGACCAACAGGTCTGTGCCCCTACTCTGTGTCTGTGGCTGGGCCAGTACTTCCTGACCACATAGAGCACGTCGCCATCGCAGGCACTTCTCAGGGTTAATGTTCACATAATCCTGCGACTACCACCTCCCAAGTCCGAGATGTAAAATTTGTGCTTCATATTTTTCCTTAAATTGACATTTTTTTGACCCAAAATGTATTTAAAGTGAAACTTAAGTTACTTTTATAGTTGGAAAGGTCAGCTTTACCTGACCAGTGACTATTAACACATAATAGCAAGTGCTCTCCTGTAATCCTGGAGGGTCTAGAGCCCGCCTTCACAAGGAGGCGGTTTGTTTCCCTTTTATGCATTAGCAGGCTGCCTCTCAGAGAGGGTTAAGTGCAGGGAAGGCTGCAGAGGAGCAGGGATTCCAAGCCAGGTCCACGCAGCCCTGGCTGTAATCTTTGTCCCCTGTCCACTTGCAGCTGGGGCTGGCAATCTTGGTCTCCCTGGGCTCTGATTCCTGGGCCCAGGAGCACTGTACTGAGGCTGCAGCAGACACTTCATAAATATTTGTCGAGTGAAGCATACAGATGATTAAATAAATGAAATTGGAGTGTTTTATTACTTGACTGGTGTGGGCTGTTAGTCACCCACGGCTGCCGAGCTGCGTGCAGGCAAGACTGTAGAGTCTGGAGGGAGAAATGCACCTAGGGCTGAACCCCGGAAACAGGGACATGACTCATCTTCTATTCAATTCATCTTTTTCCCACCAAAATAATGACTATATTTACTTTCAAGTTATCTTCATATATTCAAAACCCCAATTATTTTTAAAATGTTAGTTTATATGTTAGCTAAATTTACTACAAACAAGCTTAAAACAACCATTTGCCACCCTAGCCTCATGGAACCCAATTTTAATTTCAAGATTACGCAGGAAGGGATGGGTCTGCATGGTCTTCTAGGAGGCCCCCAAGCTAGCAGTGTCATGAGAGCTTCAGAGAGAAGTCTGGATGGGGTCAGGGGAGGCAGTGGGGGACATGTGGCCCAATTACAGGCTGTGGAATAAGACCACCATGAGCCCGGTGCAAGAAGCGAACGAAGCTTCCAATACTAGGAGCAACCTCTCTTTCTTTTCAGGTGACTAACACAAACACAGTTAATGTCATTAAAATTCTCCCCCATCCTGTCCCCATTATTCATCTTACTTGGCCAAGAGTAAGCCTTCACTCACTGTGCAGTTGTACAGGAATGAGTGTTTTTGAGGTGTGGGAGTTTGAGATGACACTTCAACCTGTGACCCACATGTTTTTCCAAGGCTGGGTAATTTTTTTACCCTCAAAGTAGAAAAAATGTCTTTCTTTTTCAAGCCATCTGTAAAAAGACTCTGTTTTCCAGGAAAGGTCAAGGGAACCCCTGCCCCTGCCGCATTTAAAATGGCCTTTAGATTTGCTGTTAAGGCAATTACAAAAAAAAGTTTACTTCCAAAGGGGAAATCGGTATAAAAAAGAAAGACATGAATCTGAAAGGAATTATACTAAATGAAAAAAGCCAATTCCAAAAGATTATGTACTGTATGATTCTTGTATATAAACGTAACATTTTTGAAATTAACAGAGAGAGAGAGAAATAGAGGACAGATTAATGATCAGCAGGGCTTGGGGATGCGGTTATAAAAGGGTCACAGGAGTGGCGATGGAATGTTCTGTATCTTGACTCTGGTGGCTACACGAACCCATTCAGGTGATAACATAGTGTAGAACTTAACACAGGCAAGCGAGGACGAGGAGGCACGGGACATCTCAGTCAGGTCTGTGACTGTATGGCAGTCAATACCCTGGGTGATAGACATTTTTTTTTTTTTTTTGGCAAAGTTGTTTTGCAAGGCGATGGCCCTGGGGGAGACTGAGCAAAGTGAATTATTTCTTACAAATACAAGTGCCTCCACGATTATTTAAGAAAAAAAACACAGAAAAGCAGGCCAGCTGCCGCGCGCCTCGCAGTCCTTCTCACGCTCTGCGGACCCCGTGGGACGCAGTGACCGTGGGACGCAGCGACCGTCGGCCCCTCGACACCGACCCGGCGCCGTGGGGAGGGCGGCCGGGCGGGGGCGGGGCGTGAGCGGCGGAAGTGACGTGACAGGCGGGGCGGGGCGGGGCGAGGCGGG